GTTATTATACTTCTACAAATGTGAACATATTTTTCTTTGTGTTTTGAAATAAATTTAACAAAAATAAAAATGAAAATCATTTTTGAATTGTTTTTTTTGTCATGTCACCACAGTAAAACATAGATACATATTAAATGTACTGATCAACCTGCAGCTCCTTCAACTGTACTGCCCAAAATGTCAGTATATCATTACAGTATTTATTATCAGGGTAAAATTATGTTTTTTCCTCATTTTGATTATCATTTGCTTGTAACTGAATAGTCACTTTAATTAGTTAAATAATAACAGAGACATAATTAATAGGATATAAGTAAATCAATAAATGGATATAATATCTGGATATAAATCATAAAAACACAACAGCACTGCACAGAGAACAAATAATGCAAAAAAAAAAAACCAAACAAAAACAAATGAAGAAAAGAAAAGAGATGAGTCTTTATGGGTTTTATAGATATCAATGGAAGGGGAAGATCTAATATTGCATAATGAATCAATGTTTCTGCTACTTTATATTTACTTTATAGTTTGTAGTTATGATTGCTTAAACACAAATTATGAAAAAATTTAACATGCACAATTTTGGACTTGAACGCTGTAGCTTCAGCTGTCAGAACAAAATGTCTCCTCTCTGTATTCTCTGTTTTTGTCCCAGTACTCATGAACAGTGCTGGACAGAGCAGCTACAACCTGCACATTGGACATCCCAATATGTTTACTCCACATCCGGTCTGGACAGGTTTCAGAGAGGAATCCTACCCCTCAGGTAAAGTAGTATTCTGCATCCTGCTTTGAATGTGTTTTCAAATTGATGATGCCAGCTTGTAACAGCCCCTCTCTGACTTCATAGACACACACTTGAGCCTTCTCAGAAGCAGCTGCAAAAGCCCTATCATTGTGCAAAGATGTTTAGATCCTGAAAATGTGCGGTGAGTTTCTAACTATTTGTTATGACGGGTTTTCCTTTTTTATTTCCACCATGGCTCCCGGCAGCTTAAGGTCTGCACTCAGCTCCTGACAGGAATCTTTGACAGCTAAAAAACTCAAAGTTGCTGAAAAGAGGTTTAGATGGAACTTTTGCCTCGCAGATAAAGAGATCATCTTTCAAATCAGTGACGGCTGCAGAGACCAGGCTTACTAACATGAGCAGAAGCCTCTCCTTTCACCAGCGGTGAGGTGACATACCTTCAGTTAAGTATTTAATTAAGAACCATCGCTAAATATTTCTTGACGATATATTTCTCGGAGAACTTTAATATCCTCTGCAGGAAGTAGAGCAAGGCGAGAAAGTACGGCCAGAACTCTAGATTAATTTCTTAGTTCAACACAAGTCGACTGTTGCACTTACAACTTTTGCCTCGCACAATAACTGTTCTTTTCAGCCTCTTGCCTTTCCTCGCCTACTCATGGCTTATGTATGTTATTTAACTAACCACACTAGCAATAATAGCAAAAGAAGAACTGTGAGAAGGGAGGGAGCAAGAGAAGGGGAGCCTTTTATAGTGATAATGTAATGCTAATTTTGTTCTTTATTGCCGAACAACAATTAGACCCTTCAGTAGAGCTTTTACATTTGTCCATAACCTATGAACTACAGTAAGTGATCATTTGAATAAATCCTACTCACATACTGACGTTGGACAATTGCTTGTTCAATCTCTGAAAAGCACAGGATATGTGAGACACTGCAGGCCAAAGTACATTGGAGCCTATTTCATCAATGCAGATGGTTGTGATTTTGGATCATCAGTGTCTAAACTCTAACCATAAGAGCAATGGACCAAGCGTATAAAGATGGGAACCCTCAAGCTTGACAATGCTACAAGCCTCACGTTCAAAAGGGCCACATTAATCCTTTGTGGCCACATGATTGATGGCTGTATTTATAAGGTGCTCAAGAAAAAAGAATCCCTTAAACATCTTTCCTTTTCAGTTCATTAACCTTTAACCACCCTCTGTCTTCCAGCGGGACGCTAGCACGAGAACTGTAGCCTTCTGGTAAAGCTGCATTAATAATAAAACAGGAACATATAGTAGATTTCTCAATTAACTAGTTTTCCATTCTCTCGAAAAGAAAAGTTTAACCTTTAATAAAATAATATAGCAGGCGAATTGTATTTTCTTTAATGCATAGGTATTTGAGATAACAAATAATTTGCTTTCTTTGTGGCGTCACAACATCTTGTAACTCTATCCCTATATAATTGTGTAAAAATCTCATTGAAGAATTGATGAAAAAAATATGTTATTACCAATCAATGTTGACTTAAATCCAATCAACCAGTGTAACCAAATAAACCAGTGTCACCCATTAATGCTGACTGGACAGAAACACATTTGACACATATACCATCACTGTCACAGATGCAACTTTAAGCCACAGACAGCGTCAGTTCTCAGGGCACTTTCACCATGGAAGGAAATTCAGTCTTACCAGTTTAAACCTCTGGCCATGTCTGTGCCCCGTGGACCTGAGGGTGCGGGGGGCCTTGCAGGCCCCAAATCCACAGAGGTGCAAGAGGAGTTTTCAGGAAATAAAGGCTTAGGTGATGATGGACCAATGAGCCACATATAGCAATATTCTGTTTAATTCTATCATTTTGTTCTCTTTGGAAAAAAAGTGGGTTAGTGAGTTCATCACAGTTGAGTTAGGGCAACAGAATTCGGTTTCAAGGACCTCTAAACTCCAACGAGATGCATACAAGCTATTTTTGCTGAGAATTTTTTTTGCACGTGTACTGATTGAAAAATGTACCTCTATTTATTATGTACAGCAGGAAAGATTCATGTGGAGTTCCCGTTTCAGGCAGAATTCTTGTCCGGGTATCAATGTGTCATATCAGTAGGTGTTGAAAAAGACTATAGGCAGTCAACAAAACTCACACACATGCACACCTACCTACATTGCACAAAAAGGTACTGCTGTATTAACAACAATGGTGGAGGCACTCAAACTGGTTTTAGAGGTGTGAGGTTTAGATTAAAACCAGACAATTTGTCAATGTCAGACTAAAGGGAAAAGAGAGAGAGAGAGAGAGAGAGAGAGAGAGAGAGAGAGAGAGAGAGAGAGAGAGGGGTGTTATGAAAATATCATTAAATCTCTGTAGTTGTGATGAATTATTGATTTGAGGTGAATCTGGGTGGTGGCGTTGTGTTTTTGTTCAACCAATTAATGGCATTGTTGCTCCCCATAGCAAAAACCTGCTTAGGCTGTGTGCAAAGGAGGAGAAGCTGTTTTAATATTGGTTTGTGGTCCTGAAAATATCACAGTATTTTGTTTCTATTTATTGGTTTTGCTCCAAAGAATTTATTACACTTTTAATAATAGCCTGAAAGCACAGCTTCGCTACCACCTCGTGTCTCGAATTAGACACAACATCATGGAAAAATTATTGTTGTTGCTGATGGTTGCTCAGTCCCAGCTGAAACATTTGTTAGAGTGAAATCTACAGCATTTCCCCTTCAGACCTGAACTTGTAAGAATGATATGCTCCAATTCAATTAGTTTAATCTCTAGATATTTTAAAGGCTTGATCAAATCTGTATTCATCACACAAAAACATTGTCGCAATTGTGTTCTATAAAAAAGACAAACAGTGAAAGCAATTTAATCAAGGATCTTTGGCTTTACGATTTTTTATTCCACCTTTTATGTTTCAGAAATTGTCTCACTTTGCTTTCAAAGTGTTTTTTGTGAATTCTTATTCATATTATATTCAGGGCTAAATGTGATATAATCATTAACGGAGTGGAGAGAGGTGGGTGCATATGAAGAGGTTTGGCCTCGTAAAATGATGAAATTCAGGTGTGATTTTGAAAAGCTGCCTCCAGAAATGACAGCTCCATTTGCTTCTATGGTTGGCCACAGTTAAGTTATGTTGTTTTGGTTTAAAGAATGACATCAGTGTACAGTAATTTTCCGATCAAGATTTTAGCTTGACTTTTTCTCTGCCAGCTGACCCAACTGATACTCAGTTTGGTGATTTGGAGTCTTGTTTAAAAGTGGGCAAATGATTGAAAAGTGATTACATATGGCCATTCCTTAAACAGCTTTTTATTGAATGAAGTGAAGCCTGCAAGCTAGTTATGTCAGTCTACTCACAGGGCTTACTGCTTTCACTATACTTAAGCCGTCAATGCTCTTCTCACTCTTTTGCTGCGTGGCAGCTGTCACACGGCTCACCTGTCACTTGTGTTACCACTGCCACTGTACCACTGCCACCTCCACCTCAGCATCCACCTGTAGGCTCTGAGTCTACCTGCCCCTCAGGGTGAAATTGGTATTGTCACTCCTCACCCCCCTGCTGTGCTGTGCTGTATTTGGCTCTGCCTTGTGTTGGTGAGGTCAGAGCCTAGATGCCAAGCATCAGTGCTGCACATATTCTGCATTCACATAATAATCCATTCCATCAGTCTTGGCTGACTGAGCTATATTTCAATGTGAAGCAGGTACTACATGCTGTATAATAGTAGTATAAGTATAGAATTAAAATGCTGTTGAAACAATTATATGCAACTTAGACACAAAAAAAATTAAACATTAACTTTTCAACCAAATTCAGCCCAGTTTTTACCCAGACACTTAGATGCTTTTTGACCTGCAAATCCCCAAATTAGTGCACACTGGGTGACACATAGGTCTGACTTCTGTCAGGAAGGTCGACGAATAAAATATGTCACCTTTTGCTTGTATGATTTTTAATGAGACCCAAGGTCCTGTCTCCTGTCTGTATCTGACATAAACACAAGACAAACCTTGACTAATCTGGCTCAAGGGTTCAGTTTTTGGGAAGAAAGGGTGGTAGGTCAAATTTATGACAGTCTGGATTTTTAGGTCTAACCTATGCAGTATGTTATATGCCAATAAATCATCAAAATTTTTTATTTCATTTTCTATAGCTCATTTATTTGATTCAGTTAGATTCGGTTAGATTCAGTGTAGGCAAGTTTTTTTTACCAGTAAATATAGTATTTTAAGCAGTATCAGTGTCACTCACCCCATTGACGGGATAGGTCTTCCAGTCCAGTTCTCCCAGCACTGTTGTAGTGTCCAACAGAACCACTAGAGAGAGAGAGAGAGAGGGAGGTGGTGAGAAAGAAAAGTAAAATGGAGGAGAAAAGTTGAGAAAAGCGAAAGAGCGACAGTATAAGCACAAAGAGTGACAGGAGAGAGCAGAAAGGGGAAGAGTGAGAGTACAAGAGAGGTTGGACAGTGAATTTAAAAAGAAGAGAAATGGAGGTGACAAAATAGGAAGAGAGCAGACAATAGTTATCAAACTGTCAATGAGGAGCTGACAGAGCTGTAAAGCCCTTATCAGATTCAACCACCTATGAAATAACAGCTCTTAGGAAAGTCCAGAACAACACAGATCCGCCCTCCATCTAAGCTGAAGTCTGGAAGATTAGTACTCTCCTTCTCAGAGGTCAGGAGTTTTCTGCTACTTCACATCAAAGATAAGCCAAAGATAAATAAAGGGGAAAGATGGAAGGACTATGGAAACTTTAAATATTTAACTAAACCAAATATGACTTGATTAAAACTAATTTAAGAAAAATACGGTCAGTATGCCAACAATTATGAATGATGACAACCTTTCATTAACAATATCACATTGTTTGGAGTTAACTGAAGTTCCCAATTGCGTCTATTGATACTGCATTATTTTGTCACAGCCCAGTATCCCAAGGAATTATGCGCATGTTGGATGATTCTGCACCAGTTTAGGTCCAGTTCCAATTACCAGTGTCAATACAGGAAGAAGTGTGCCCTATGTGTAGCAAGGTAATAAGTAACAGTGTGGAAGTTGGGCATTTTCAGTGAAAGTAATCCAGAGTATTGGAGAATCCTCCAATATTGATATTCTTGTTTGGCAATAGTGTCGGACAGCATCAGTGAGATATTGTAAAGAGGTTTTGTAGAGTGTTATGTAGAACAATGTATGGATTAGTGAACATGTGATGCATGATGATATTGGCCTCATTGCTCTGCAAATGAAAAATCGCAGTGGGGAGATTCTTCCTTGAAAGTAAACAAGTAAACACATGTTGAAGTGCACCCACCCAATGTGACCCACATCATTCCGGTCGTTTGAAAACCTGAACACTCTCATGTGTGACATGCAGGTAAACAGACTGACCGATCAAGACAGATGGATGAATGGATCTCTCACACTCACGCTCAGTTCAACCATATTTGCATTCTGGGTTAAGTGTGTGTTCACATCTGTCTGCTTTACGTCAGAGCCAGACACTAGTAGCCCAACAGTAGCTGACCTGTCACACTTGGCTCATTTTATTCTGTGTAGTGTGCATTAATGGAAAATAATCGACAGAGCCAGCTATAAACATGACGCACAAAAAAACAGGGATATTTTATTTCATTTCTGCAAACCTGTAACCATTTGACATTTGCCGGAAATTTGACGGTTTGATCAGGAGCAATAATCAGTTCAATCAGATCTATGGACGCGACATCATTCTGTGTGTGTGCAAATTTATGCCGCGCACCAACACACTAGAGAGAGGGATCTCTACTGAATGTGAAGGAAAAAGACAAAACCCACCATCATCACAGAGGTTCACTTTAATTCATAAAACTGTGACCACATACAAAAACATTTGTAGTCAGTGCTGTCAGGTGGAAGTGTTTAGTCTGCTGTGCTTCTCAGCCAAATCCCGCAATATTTAAGACTCTAATAGTAAGTTTGACATGGTGATCATTTAAATAGACAAACATGTTCGATGGTGTTTTTCGGTTGAGCATGTTAACCTTGTTTCTTTGTGCGCATCCATGGCCGCATTGCGTACATACAGGTATAACAATCTTGAGCTGTCTGCACTCTGGTCACGGCTCAGGCATGAAGAGAGCCATTATCTGGCCCTTGCTAAGCCCCCTGAGCCAATTTGATATGATGAATGTGCAATTTCCTTTGTCTCCACACAGCCAGTTAATTACAATCTCTATCAATAAAGTGTGTCCCACTTCAGTGGTCGACATTATAGAGCAAAGAGTCACATCGTCAGACGACCTGTCACTTCAGTGTACGGCAGACTTTGCCAAATCTGGACTAATTTAATGGGGTTGCAACTGTTTTAAGAACATGTTAGATAACCAGAGAAGATACACTTTGGTGAGACTAAATGAACCTCTTCAGTATTTACAGAGACTTTATTTTGTCCTTGATCCCCAGCTGGTAATTAAAGACTGAATTATAATAAGATAGCCTTGCCACTGTTCAAAAGGACTACATAGAGGGAGGGAGGGAGGGAGAGAGACTGTGAGACAGACCAAGAGAGACAGAGAGATATTGATTTTTGACAAAATTAGAAAAACAATCTTTCTTAACCATGAGCAATGTTCCATACCATGTTTGACAGCAGCACATTTTTTCCACCAACTCCCTCCACTGGTTGTCTCTTTGTCTCTTACACGCAAACACAAACACACCCAAACATACATACACAGTAATGTAGTCATAAAATAATTAAATTCCTGCAACTATCTTTGGAGCCAGGAAATAATAGATGACCCAAGACCACAGTGCTGAATTTGATACACAGATTTTCTCACTCAAAGCACACATGCGCGCGCACACACACACACACACACACACACACACACACACACACTACAAACCAACCAGCACTTATCAGGAGGCTAAATCACATTACTCTTGTCTGGGTATTGTGTATGGAAACATAATAATCTACAACTGTCCTTTCTGAATTTTCCTGACCACAGGAAAATTGACACATTTTAGAAAATAAGGTGCGCACAAGTAATCTATATCGTAAATTGCCACAGTCTCTTTTGTGATATGTCACTGATACAATTATGATACACCAATATTGCAGGATGAGGTGTTCAGTATATGCCTGAACAAGTCTTTAACACTGAATCCTCAAGCTGAACTGAGTGTACTGAATCTTTAGTGTTACTGACTGAATCAGTAGCTTTTAGCATTGAGGCTTCCATAACAAACTATGTAATCACCACAACAACTCTTTGAACCATACTGCAGACTGTGAACATAACTTTTGCTTATAGTGTAAATATTTTGCAGAGTTTGAGTACCACTTCTTGTCTGGCAAACTCACCATGACAACAAGACACTAGGAAGTTAAGAAATCGCTCTAGTGTGTAACTCCCCAACTTGTCACTTTTGGCATCAGTCTACTGTTTGTGTAGAGATTAAACAAGAGGAGCCACGCTTCCAATTTTTATGCTAAGCTAAGCTAACCATCTCCTGGCCCTAGCTTCATATTTTCTGTACAGACATGAGCATGGTATCAATCTTCGAAATGAACTCTCAGCAAGTATTTACACAGATATTATGATGTAATAATATTGTGTATTGCAGAACTGACCTCTATGCCATATCTTTACATAGAAAATAGTTGTTTGCTGCTATACTATTGTTTATAATCTCCTTTACAGATCATCTAACCTTTGATTCTCACTGCAACAATCCTCTTGTTGAGTCAACCAATTGCATGGCATGGATTTTCCAAGAAAAAAACACAACCAATATAACCTTCTGTTCAGTCAAACATCACATAGACGTTTCATTGACAACAACACTGAAAACAACAAAGAGTCTTTACCAAGCCATAGTTTGCAGAAAATTGCTCTGTGTACTGGGTGACACCTCACTGAAACCTGGGCTTGAGCTGAATGGAAAAGCCAGACATGAAGTCAGAATACTCAATTATATAAGTATTTGGCTGAGGATATTCAAGTAGACAAGCACTTGGCTGAGATCTCCCAGAGAGACGGGCATTTCTTTAAGGGCCCTTGGGTTTTTTTTTTTTTGGTTGTTTTGATTTTTTTTTTTTTTTTTTTGCAGTTTCCAGGATGTGGTTTCAGAAAGCCACTGGGAGAGGAAGAATCGTTATTTTCTATATGAGATGATAATAAAAGTCGACAGCAACATCTAATTCACCTGATCATGACACAGATGATGCGGTGTCCATGTATTAAAAGAGGAAGACAGTGCAGCATCTGCATAAATGCTACTGCTGTGTTGGCATGAAATGGTCACAGAAATGTTGGGCTTTTTAAAAGGCACACTAGATAAATAAATGCTTGAGTATTTGATTGATTAGTTGATTAACATTTACATTTACCAATTATAGTTTCAGTAACTGATTTGTGTGTGAGCAATCTATTAAGAAAAAATACCAAATATTGGCTGGTGTTGCAGATGTGAGCATTTGCATGTTTGTAAACTGAATAGAGACTTTACATACCATGAGACAAACAGGCATCCACTTCAGAGGTTACTATGAGAAACTTAAACTTTCATGATTTTAAGTTCAATAATTTTTACTTTGTGAACATACAGCTCCCAAGAAATAAAACAAGTGATTCTTTATTTCAATGTATTCCACAGGGATCAGTTGGTCAGGATGCTGCCTTTTTACCTGGGACGTGCAGCTTTAACCTCAGCCTTTAGCAAGCTATCATGTATGCAGCCATCAGGTGCATATTTGAGACCTGTTTCAGTTTCTAAAAGATACTTCAGACTGGTTTGTAGTGTTAGACCAGTCTTTATTTGGCTCATAGATCAATCTAATGCAAGTCAGACTGTTTCACAAAAATAAACACTGACTAATTTTAAGCCAAAAAAATAACCTTGCCCCCAGGCTAACTCAGGTCTAAGACCTATGTAACAATGGTGACAATCAGTGATTCCTCCTCTGCTGTCTTATCCATACTGTCCAAAAGTGTCGCTAAGAAAAATAAACAGCGACAGCACTACTTTATTCTGAAGGTCAAGTTTTAGCGTCTGTTGACGTGTAATTTGCCGTTAGCTTGCACATAGGCTGTATCGTTAAATCGTTAGCAGCTAGCTAACGGCTCAACCATTGGTACACCGAATGTTGAGCCGTTACAAAGTAAAACTTTTCTTTCGACTGCTGTCATTCAAACAATCACTAGAGACATTGTCGGCCTAACTTAACTTACCTGTGTTCTTTTGGCTGTCATTGGCCTCTGTCTGTCCCTCTCGGGCTGCTGCTGGGGGGCTGTTGCTGGGGGGCTGCTGTCAGCGCCACTCCGCT